AGAAGTGCCACGCTCATACAAACGAAATACCCACTTTATTTTGCTGGTGGATTTATAATAAATCCACCCAACCTCATGCAACAATGTTCGATCGAGTCACAACTGGTATGATGTCCAGTTCAAACCTATATGTGAGTCGAGTAAGGCTGACAAAAGCCCGACTGCATACGTATTCAATCATACATGCAACCCTCTGTATTACATTATATGCATGTTTGTATGTTTGTTAGCTGTAAAATGTTCAAGCGATCAAACAGCATTTCAGTGACGAAATCAAAATTGTGTACATTTGATAAGGTTTTGAATTTAATAGCATAAAAAACAAAATTACCTGTTTGATATTGTTATGAATTGTAGTGTAAAAACACATTACAAATTTATTTATGTCTCAAATCTGATTTTTCCATTCGAGGAAGCTTTATTCTTAAATATTGCCCATGCGCAATGTTTCCGAACCAATATCGAAATCACCAATTTTAACATTTCAATCCGGTGTAAATAGCATTCATGCACTTCCTCAAACCAGGAAGCATTATTAGTGGATTTAGTGACTTCTATACATTTTTTCAATATAATTTTTCTTACTTTTCTAATATTTTTATTTTCTTTAAAATACTTTTCAAACACTTTTATATGAATCTTAAAAACATTTTTTAAAATAATCACAAAAAGTCACCAAAAATTCAAACTATTAAGAAGTAGTTCCATTTGAGATAAAATATATGCACAAATGTGCAATAAAAACATACATATTAATATACTGCAGACTTAATGTCTCCAATATCACATTTGTACATACATAATGATTTTTGTAGTGCATCATTTGTTGCAATAAAAAAAATAATATATTCTATTACTCTTTACTCCTATGATATGGGCCTTTCCAGCACAAGAAAATAAAGCAACAAAGTATATCGAAAAATTATTTCAGGGATTTCTTTACCATTCACTTCGCTACTAATCAATGTATATTAATAAAATAGAAAAATAAAAACAAGAAAGGCAAAAGAAACAGGCGTATAAAAACAATTGTGGGTTGCAATGAGTTTGAACTGAACATCATACCAATTGTAACTCGATCGAACATTGTTGCATGAGGTTGGGTGGATTTATTATAAATCCACCAGCAAAATAAAGTGGGTATTCGTTTGTATGAGCGTGGAACTTCTTTGTACTATAGATTCTTTGGAAGGTTTTCAGCAAAAATCTGGTGTGCAAATAGATAATTCGCCACCACGGAGCAGTAATACAGCTCATTTGGAGACGCAGCAAGCCTATAAACGTCTAATCATTGCAGTACTTACTGATAATTATGATAGTGATGATGACCTGTTTAATTTTGGTGGCGGGCCATCAAAAAAAACATGTTTACAAGATAAAGATAAAAGTTTCGGTGAAGAACTTTACGATGTACGAAATAAACAACAACAACAGGAATTATGTTTACTTGAAACAGAAAAGATCGGTGTGAATGATGATGGCAAATCCGGGAGCAAACAAAATTCAATATTAGATGATGAAAGTATGTCAAAGCGTAAACAGAACAAAATTATTCAAATTGTTATAAGTGACAGTGATGACAGTAATGAAGATGATGACCTGTTTAATTTTGGTGGCGGGCCATCAAAAAAAACACCTAATGAATACAAGCCTATAAATAGCAATGATTTGATGGGACATAATCTAGATTGCACAATAACACCGGCTCGTAAAACTGTTTTCAGCGGTATGACATTTGTGTTTATGAATGCGAACCAGCTTGAAATATATGGACCCATTATAATTAAAGCCGGTGGAGCTACAAAAGATCTAAAATTTTGTGTGCCAAAATCTTTTTTACTTAAAAGTAACGTAGTTGTTTTGCAATATGTGCCCACAAAACAAACCCACAAAACAAAACAGTTATTATCAGTAGAGACGTGATTTTTTTTGAAAATGAAAAATATGTAGGAAAAAGTGATTCCCTAGGTATAGTTGTTCCTATTATACAAATTGAAAGTGACAATTCAGGGAAGAATATAGAGGAATGCGAATTGCCACTTAAAAATACTGAAAATGAAACCAAAAGTTCTGATGAACACTACAAAGTAATAGATAATACCTCTCCGGAATGCTCTGAGATTCAAGTAATATCCAACGAAGTGGAAGAAGAATCTGACATACGACGTTCGAAGAGAATAGCAAGCAAAAATTCGCCATATAATTTTTGTGCATTAGATTATATATCAAACGATCCTTGTTCATTTGAAGAAGTAATGTCGTCCAATAACTCTGATAAATGGAAAGCAGCTATGCAGAGTGAAATTGACTCGCTTTTACGGAACAAGACATGGAAACTTACTGAGTTGCCGGCTGATAAAAAAGCAATCCCATCAAAATGGGTTTTTAAAACTAAATTAGATGCTCAAGGTACTCCGGTTTGCAGAAAAGCCAGACTAGTTGCAAAAGGTTTCGGACAAATAGAAGGCATTGAGTACACAGAAACATTTGCTCCGGTGGTAAGATATGAATCAATAAGGTTTCTATTAGCGCTCGCCGCCAAAAATGATTTGATTATACACCAAATGGATGCTGTTACAGCATATTTGAATGGAATTCTCGATGAAGAAATATACATGAAACAGCCGAAGGGTTTTAACGATAGCTCAGGCAAGGTATGTAAACTTCTACGTTCAATATATGGTCTCAAGCAATCAGGACGCGTTTGGAACGAAACTCTAAATCGAGAATTAGTTGCAATAGGGTTAAAATATTTTTATTTACCTTCATGATCTGACGTAATTTCTGGATATTTCAAAAGTTTGTCCTTAAAACGTCCTGGACATGGTTTTATTTTCAATGGAAATATTGTCCGAATAACCGTTTGCATGTAAAATGTTTTGTAGTAACTCCGAAGTAATTTATTATTATCAAATAATTCTTCTTTTGATATATTTGAAATTGGCAACTCATACTCCAACTCCTTTATGCTTTGGCAAATGTTAGCAATAACATCATTGTGAAAAGTTAACCTTTTAAACGTTTCAAAACTGACTGGAAGGTTGCGCACTTTTTCATTTGTTTCTTTGTTGTTAGCATCAAAATTTGATATAATACTATATTTATAAAAAATTCCGTTTTAATAAAATAATTTATTTATTTAAATAACTTAAATACCTCTTTAGTCCCAGGATCTTTTCTTCTAATATCTTTTTATCGGTAACGCTATAATGCACATACATAAATTTTTTAATGGCTAAATAATCAATCATTTCTCTACTTAATATTTACCTATTTATATTTTTATGTGGAGAACTATCTTGTTTCTTTAAACTTTTTTTTACGCTTTGATGTTCATTATCTTTATTTTCACACAAATGTTTATAATAGTGTGGAATTTTAAACAAACGTTGTTTTGTGTTTTCATCACAGTCACTAGTGATGCGAACATATTTCATTGGTGCTACACATCGTCGCTGTGGTCTTTTGTAAAAAACGTTATATGTCTTTTTTACCCTGAACATGATTTCTGGTTCCGTGAGATATGTTTCTAAGGCTATTGGATATTTATCTTTAATATAATCTTTAATTACATCGATTATATTTGTATTTTCAATGAACTCATTGATCGTAACTGGAAAGACTGATCGTATTTTTGATTCTTCACGGGGTCTGAATCTGAAATAAATAAATTATTTTAGCATTTCTTTTATTAATTCACTTTAACTTACTTTTCTTGCAAATTTATATCCTGCTTTAGTTTAGGACTAGCCTGTGCTTCTTTGGTCTCAATTCCCATTGTATCAGTAATTTTTGTTTGTTTAACATTTTTTCCTTTTTTGAAGGGCATTTTTAATTCCGCCTGTATTCAACAATTTAGTGTTATTATTTATGAATTTTAATTTCGCCTGTATTCAACAATTTATTAATTATTAATTATTTATTAATTAAAGAAATTTCAACATACAGTTTTGTAAATGAACTGCGGAATTAGCAAAGAATACTTTTACTGTTTTAGAATACTGTTATATTAAGGCAATTCAATTATTGAAACTGTTGAAAATAAAACAGAAAACAACAAAATACAAAATATTAATAACGCAAAATAAGCAACCTCAATTTTTGACAAAAATTGTCAAAAATTTATATTTTCTAATTTCAAGCAGTCCCAAGAAATATACGATTTAGTTCAATTCAGTGTTTTTAACATGAACAAATGAAATAGTAAAATTTGTTAATTAGAAAACATATTAAAAGTTATTTTATTACATAAAAGTATTTTATTAGAAATAAAATTGTTGAATTCAATTAATAATAAATGAAATAATATTAAAAGTCTATACAAATATAATTTACATACTCCACTCTTTTTACCACCAAAAAATTGTTTACAATTTTTGTTTTTTTTTATATTTCTTATTGGATTTTTCACATATTTAACAAACACAAATTAACACATAGCACAACTTTATTAAAATATATTAAATATATACTCACATATATTTTTGCTTTACTAATTTGTATTTATACACATCAAAACAAACAAATCACATTAAACACAAAACATATATTTTAAATCCACAATTAATAAATTATTGTTTTTTTACCTTCTTTCGTCATTTTTAGGAAATTCATACATTCCCTTAAATAACTTACATCCCATCACGCAATTTCGCACCATCTTCAAATATTAATAATAATATATAATAATTTACTATAATAACAATTATAATAAATATAATTATTTTTTCAAAGAAACTTATTCACTACTTTTTATAACTCAGTTTGATTTGGCTACGTTTTTCAGTTTTTGGCGCATTTCTCCTGTCAAAATAACTAAACAAAACCCAATTTGCGCTCTTCATATTGCTCTTTCGTAATAAAAAAAATTAAGACCGTTCGTGGTGGTGAAACGTTCCGTTCGGGGTGGTGAAACTTTTCAGTCGTGGTGGGTCGAATTGCAACAACAAAACAACGTGCTTGGTTTGGTAGTAGTAAATTATTTTGAGAGTGTATTGGTTGGTTTTTTTTGTTTACATTTAAGTTGCCGTTCTTGTACAAGTATTCTTTGTTTCTTAATATGAATACACATGATTTTGTACAGCGGTTAATGGTTTTGTTTATGATTAAAGCAAAGAATCTATAGTACAAAGAAGTGCCACGCTCATACAAACGAAATACCCACTTTATTTTGCTGGTGGATTTATAATAAATCTACCCAACCTCATGCAACAATGTTCGATCGAGTCACAACTGGTATGATGACCAGTTCAAACCTATATGTGAGTCGAGTAAGGCTGACAAAAGCCCGACTGCATTCGTATTCAATCATACATGCATTCTGTATTACATTATACGCATGTTTGTATGTTTGTTCGCTGTAAAATGTTCAAACGATCAAACAGCATTTCAGTGACGAAGTCAAAATTGTGTACATTTGATAAGTTTTTGAATTTAATAGCATATGAAACAAAATTACCTGTTTGATATTGTTATGAATTGTAGTGTAAAAACACATTACAAATTTATTTATGTCTTAAATCTGATTTTTTCCATTCTATTAAGCTTTAATTTTAAATGTTGTCCATGCGCAATGTTTCGGAAGCAATATCGTAATCACCAATTTTAACATTTCAATCCGGTGTAAATAGCATTCATGCGTTTGCTCAAACCAGGAAGCATTATTAGTGGCTTTAGGGACTTCTATACATTTTTTCAATATAATTTTTCTTACTTTTCTAATATTTTTATTTTCTTTAAAATACTTTTCAAACACTTTTATATGAATCTTAAAAATATTTTTTAAAATAATCACAAAAAGTCACCAAAAATTCAAACTATTAAGAAATAGTTCCTTTTGAGGTAAAATATATGCACAAATGTGCAATAAAAACATACATATTAATATACTGCAGACTTAATATCTCCAATATCACATTCGTACATACATAATGGTTTTTGTAGTGCATCATTTGTTGCAATAAAAAAAATAATATATTCTATTACTCTTTACTCCTATGATATGGGCCTTTCCAGTACAAGAAGATAAAGCAACAAAGTATATCGACAAATTATTTGAGGGATTTCTTTACCATTCACTTCGTTACTAATCCATGTATATTAATTAAATAGACAAATAAAAACAAGAAAGGTAAAAGAAACAGGCGTATAAAAACAATTGTGGGTTGCAATGAGTTTGAACTGAACATCATACCAGTTGTGACTCGATCGAACATTGTTGCATGAGGTTGGGTGGATTTATTATAAATCCACCAGCAAAATAAAGTGGGTATTTCGTTTGTATGAGCGTGGCACTTCTTTGTACTATAGATTCTTTGGTTGAAGGTTTTCAGCAAAAATCAGGTGTGCAAATAGATAATTCGCCACCACGGAGCAGTAATACAGCTCATTTGGAGACGCAGCAAGCCTATAAACGTCTAATCATTGCAGTACTTACTGATAATTATGATAGTGATGATGACCTGTTTAATTTTGGTGGCGGGCCATCAAAAAAAACATGTTTACAAGATAAAGATAAAAGTTTCGGTGAAGAACTTTACGATGTACGAAATAAACAACAACAACAGGAATTATGTTTACTTGAAACAGAAAAGATCGGTGTGAATGATGATGGCAAATCCGGGAGCAAACAAAATTCAATATTAGATGATGAAAGTATGTCAAAGCGTAAACAGAACAAAATTATTCAAATTGTTATAAGTGACAGTGATGACAGTAATGAAGATGATGACCTGTTTAATTTTGGTGGCGGGCCATCAAAAAAAACACCTAATGAATACAAGCCTATAAATAGCAATGATTTGATGGGACATAATCTAGATTGCACAATAACACCGGCTCGTAAAACTGTTTTCAGCGGTATGACATTTGTGTTTATGAATGCGAACCAGCTTGAAATATATGGACCCATTATAATTAAAGCCGGTGGAGCTACAAAAGATCTAAAATTTTGTGTGCCAAAATCTTTTTTACTTAAAAGTAACGTAGTTGTTTTGCAATATGTGCCCACAAAACAAACCCACAAAACAAAACAGTTATTATCAGTAGAGACGTGATTTTTTTTGAAAATGAAAAATATGTAGGAAAAAGTGATTCCCTAGGTATAGTTGTTCCTATTATACAAATTGAAAGTGACAATTCAGGGAAGAATATAGAGGAATGCGAATTGCCACTTAAAAATACTGAAAATGAAACCAAAAGTTCTGATGAACACTACAAAGTAATAGATAATACCTCTCCGGAATGCTCTGAGATTCAAGTAATATCCAACGAAGTGGAAGAAGAATCTGACATACGACGTTCGAAGAGAATAGCAAGCAAAAATTCGCCATATAATTTTTGTGCATTAGATTATATATCAAACGATCCTTGTTCATTTGAAGAAGTAATGTCGTCCAATAACTCTGATAAATGGAAAGCAGCTATGCAGAGTGAAATTGACTCGCTTTTACGGAACAAGACATGGAAACTTACTGAGTTGCCGGCTGATAAAAAAGCAATCCCATCAAAATGGGTTTTTAAAACTAAATTAGATGCTCAAGGTACTCCGGTTTGCAGAAAAGCCAGACTAGTTGCAAAAGGTTTCGGACAAATAGAAGGCATTGAGTACACAGAAACATTTGCTCCGGTGGTAAGATATGAATCAATAAGGTTTCTATTAGCGCTCGCCGCCAAAAATGATTTGATTATACACCAAATGGATGCTGTTACAGCATATTTGAATGGAATTCTCGATGAAGAAATATACATGAAACAGCCGAAGGGTTTTAACGATAGCTCAGGCAAGGTATGTAAACTTCTACGTTCAATATATGGTCTCAAGCAATCAGGACGCGTTTGGAACGAAACTCTAAATCGAGAATTAGTTGCAATAGGGTTAAAATATTTTTATTTACCTTCATGATCTGACGTAATTTCTGGATATTTCAAAAGTTTGTCCTTAAAACGTCCTGGACATGGTTTTATTTTCAATGGAAATATTGTCCGAATAACCGTTTGCATGTAAAATGTTTTGTAGTAACTCCGAAGTAATTTATTATTATCAAATAATTCTTCTTTTGATATATTTGAAATTGGCAACTCATACTCCAACTCCTTTATGCTTTGGCAAATGTTAGCAATAACATCATTGTGAAAAGTTAACCTTTTAAACGTTTCAAAACTGACTGGAAGGTTGCGCACTTTTTCATTTGTTTCTTTGTTGTTAGCATCAAAATTTGATATAATACTATATTTATAAAAAATTCCGTTTTAATAAAATAATTTATTTATTTAAATAACTTAAATACCTCTTTAGTCCCAGGATCTTTTCTTCTAATATCTTTTTATCGGTAACGCTATAATGCACATACATAAATTTTTTAATGGCTAAATAATCAATCATTTCTCTACTTAATATTTACCTATTTATATTTTTATGTGGAGAACTATCTTGTTTCTTTAAACTTTTTTTTACGCTTTGATGTTCATTATCTTTATTTTCACACAAATGTTTATAATAGTGTGGAATTTTAAACAAACGTTGTTTTGTGTTTTCATCACAGTCACTAGTGATGCGAATATATTTCATTGGTGCTAGACATCGTTGCTGTGGTCTTTTGTAAAAAATGTTATATGTCTTTTTTACCCTGAACATGATTTTTGGTTCCGTGAGATATGTTTCTAAGGCTGTTGGATATTTATCTTTTATATAATCTTTAATTACATCGATTATATTTGTGTTTTCAATAAACTCATTGATCGTAACTGGAAAGACTGATTGTATTTTTGGTTCTTCACGGGGGCTGAATCTGAAATAAATAAATTATTTTAGCATTTCTTTTATTAATTCACTTTAACTTACTTTTCTTGCAAATTTATATCCTGCTTTAGTTTAGGACTAGCCTGTGCTTCTTTGGTCTCAATTCCCATTGTATCAGTAATTTTTGTTTGTTTAACATTTTTTCCTTTTTTGAAGGGCATTTTTAATTCCGCCTGTATTCAACAATTTAGTGTTATTATTTATGAATTTTAATTTCGCCTGTATTCAACAATTTAGTGTTATTATTTATGAATTTCCCGCTAAAATTAAAGAAATTTCAACATACAGTTTTGTAAATGAACTGCGGAATTAGCAAAGAATACTTTTACTGTTTTAGAATACTGTTATATTAAGGCAATTCAATTATTGAAACTGTTGAAAATAAAACAGAAAACAGAAAACAACAAAATACAAAATATTAATAACGCAAAATAAGCAACCTCAATTTTTGACAAAAATTGTCAAAAATTTATATTTTCTAATTTCAAGCAGTCCCAAGAAATATACGATTTAATTCAATTCAGTGTTTTTAACATGAACAAATGAAATAGTAAAATTTGTTAATTAGAAAACATATTAAAAGTTATTTTATTGCATAAAAGTATTTTATTAAAAATAAAATTGTTGAATTAAATTAATAATAAATTAAATAATATTAAAAGTCTTTAAACTATTCATACATTTGAATATGAATATTTTAATATACAAATATAATTTACATACTCCACTCTTTTTACCACCAAAAAATTGTTTACAATTTTTGTTTTTTTTTATATTTCTTATTGGATTTTTCACATATTTAACAAACACAAATTAACACATAGCACAACTTTATTAAAATATATTAAATATATACTCACATATATTTTTGCTTTACTAATTTGTATTTATACACATCAAAACAAACAAATCACATTAAACACAAAACATATATTTTAAATCCACAATTAATAAATTATTGTTTTTTTACCTTCTTTCGTCATTTTTAGGAAATTCATACATTCCCTTAAATAACTTACATCCCATCACGCAATTTCGCACCATCTTCAAATATTAATAATAATATATAATAATTTACTATAATAACAATTATAATAAATATAATTATTTTTTCAAAGAAACTTATTCACTACTTTTTATAACTCAGTTTGATTTGGCTACGTTTTTCAGTTTTTGGCGCATTTCTCCTGTCAAAATAACTAAACAAAACCCAATTTGCGCTCTTCATATTGCTCTTTCGTAATAAAAAAAATTAAGACCGTTCGTGGTGGTGAAACGTTCCGTTCGGGGTGGTGAAACTTTTCAGTCGTGGTGGGTCGAATTGCAACAACAAAACAACGTGCTTGGTTTGGTAGTAGTAAATTATTTTGAGAGTGTATTGGTTGGTTTTTTTTGTTTACATTTAAGTTGCCGTTCTTGTACAAGTATTCTTTGTTTCTTAATATGAATACACATGATTTTGTACAGCGGTTAATGGTTTTGTTTATGATTAAAGCATACTTCAAGATTTTCGCGCAAAAATAAATGCAAAGAAATTTTGTTAGCAAATATGAGCAAAATAAAATCTACGCGTTCTTCTAAATCAGAAACCAAATTAAATGATTCAACAAGAGACAATAAAACGGTTAAAGCATCATCTATAAGAAAAGTATTTTATATTGCCGAATCTTTAATGCAAAATGCCGATAATGAATTGCGATTAGAACGCTTCTTTCATCCGGGCAAAGGTACCACCGCGCTATTTATAGCATGTTCCAATAAAATCATTATGGAAGTATTACAGTTCTCTGAACCACGACGAAGTTGGCTAATAGATTCAAATGTATGTTCCAATGGACGTATTTATGTTACTACACCGATTGATGTCACATTTTTGGCAATACATCATATACGCAAGCATTGCACCCAAAGAGTACTGGAACTGCATTGCAGGCAAAGTGAAGATTTAAGCACTTCTCGCCTGCTTACGACTTTTGTAGACAAAGACACATTAGGTTGCGTAGCTGATGTTAAAAGATTAGCTGGTTCCAAAACGGTGTTTTATAAGTACAATGCAGAAAAAACGTTAGCTTCGTTAGCGCTTAAAACCCGAAACATTGCGAATGTGCTTAAAAGCAAAGGAATTTATTGCGGACTGAGCACCGTGTCACATAATTACACTCCCAGCGAAAATTCAACAGCTGAAGATCTGATTAACGATATTGACTATTTGCGTATGGCGTGTGATATTGTTGGTGGTTATATTAACTTGGATTTACACGACGATCTCACAAAATATTTTGAAATACAACCGGAAATAAAAGCCATCGTTGAGGAGCAGAAACAGGCAAATAAACGAAAATCACTTGCAATCACTTAATTCAAATGATAATAAAAAAATTAAACTTGAAAACACGAATGATAAAAGTGCTAATGAAAAATTAAAAAATAATGGCCTATTAGATGACTCACTGGATGATGATAAATCTAATATAATCGTTAATGATGCACCAAAGGCACCAGCACCTAAGGAGCGCGTACTCACAGCTAAGGAGAAAGCATTAGCCAAGAGCGCAAAGGGAACAAAAAGCATATCTTCATTTTTCAAGAAATAAATCTTAAGTTATTTTTAGTTAAGGATGATTTGTAATAATCTTCACTTTAAGTACATTTATTGTGTAATCGTTATTATTATATTTAGTAAATATCATTAGATTTGAAGTTTAATTGTTTCTGTAAAAAAAAATTGTAGGATTTTAATTGAGGTATTGGAATTGCGTTTGACTTTTGTTAAACACCACATCAAAACAGAGAAAACAATCTGTACACATATTCTGAATCAGTTTGGTTTTATCGCTTTTAGTAAGCCAGCTAAGTCTACACTTGACTAAAAAAATTTCAAAATATCAACTTAAGGGAGATATTCAAATTCTTTGGTCTATTAGAAACTCTGATATTCATAGAGATGCCTTAAAGATGGTCATTCCTGTCTTTTTTTAACACGCTAGAAGCTGCTTGTAATATCCATTTGGAGGTGGTGAACGATACTTGGTTGACGAGTGGTTCCGGTAAGTTGACATGGCCATTCTCGAAACTTTCATTTCTACTCCTTTATATCTTCACATTACTTTCTCTATTCCGCCCATTGTGCAATGTGTTATCAACCTTTTCTGAGCTTGCTTCCAGTTTGGCATATTGCTACAACAATCTCTTCAACAAAATATTCATTATCTGATACTTTAAGTATATAATGGATTTTACAAAAAAAAAGTGATGTAAATTGCCAGGTTGACACAGTACCCGTTACATGGAGTGCATACGGACAGAAGAGTCAAGGTGCTAGCTGCTATCAACTCCTTCCTAATTCTCCTACTGTTATTTTTTTAAAAGCTTATAATATGAGTAAGGATATTGAAAGATAAGGTATTTAACAAATAAAGAACTTAAAGAAATTAAAATTATGTGGGCTTTAATGCAATTACTTCATCATTTAGTCGATGAAGCCTTAAATTATTAATTAATTTACAACAAAATAATACTAATTTAACATAATATACAATAAAAAAAATTCTAGAAAATTAATTAATTTTAGCTTTACTGGTGGTATATCGGGTATCACGCAGATAAATTTATTTAAAATCAATTAATTATTTTTTCATATTTTTTCCGTAATACAATAGTCAGTCTAATGGACATTTACCTTTATTTGAAAAAAACTTAATCTATTTTTGGATATTACTTTATGATACAAGTATGTTCAGCTCTATCTGCTACATCTATCTAAACGCGATGAAAAATCTTACTACCGTGTTTAAAACTTAAACTGATTCATTTGTAATTGCCTGAATTTAACTTAATTAAAAAATAATTAGTAAAAAATTGTGTAATTTTAACTGATATAATCTAATACATTTATTTAAACAAAACTAGAAATATTCTTATAAATTACAAAAAAACGCTAATCCTCTTTTACAAGGACTATTTCGTGATTGTATTATTATAGGATGCAGTTTCTCTCTTTGCGTAAAAAAATATTACATTTTTTGCGAATGCTAAACATCCAGTGTGTTGAGTTCGTTAGAATTTTTATCGCTTGAGTCCTCCTCCATTTTTTCTAATTCTTCTCCTATTTTGTTCGTATAATTTGCGTCTAGTACAATCACTTTGTTTGGATTTTCATTGTAAATCTGTCTTTCAGTTTCTAAAAATTCCTCATGCGAGGCTCCCATATTCTCTAATGTCCTGCGTTTCCTTGATATTTCATCGCAAATGTTTTCTTTTAAGTCTTGTAATTCTTCATGCGAATTATCATTTTTTATCGGACTAGGATCTGCGACTACTGAATCTATTGTCTCGATTTTGATTTGAGTTTTATCGCGAATCTTCTCTGGCAGTGCCTGCAATACCTTAACTTGCCGCGGACTAAAAGCGAGTGTTGGATTGAGTTTGTTCGGATATTTTTGACATTCTTTCTCTTTCAGTTCTTGTAACTCTTCACGCAAATCTTCAATTTGTTCAATATGCGCTCGTTTCACTTTTGCCAACTAAAAATTATAAATTAAAATTTAATTATTGATGTGATTAATATATCTGAATTGATAGCGCACTTGACTCACCTTTGATTCAAATACTCGTTTTTGACATTCAAGTTCCTGTTTCAGACGATTTTCAGCTTGTTCCTTGGTTGCAGTCAATGTTTTTTCAAACGAGTCCACAAGTTCATTTCGAATTTCTTTTTCTTGCCGCAAGAGTTCAGAATTTATCCTAATTTGGAAATTATTTACTTCGTTTATCAGTCGATCATTATCATTACGCAGCCTATTTGAATAAATAATTTATATATTATTATATTCCAAAAGAGTTAGGGTATTTTAAAACGTACAAAATATTTACTTCGAGTAATTGCTCAATGTAGGCATTTTGTGCACTGCCGGACTTGGAATGTTCCAAAAAGAATGAAAATCTTGAGTTATTTTGCTTCACAATTGGTGGTTTGAAGATAATATTCTTAGCGATTTAAGAGAATCCCAAAACATTTAAATTTTCTTCATAATATTTTTCAGTGGGTGTAACATTAACCACCATGACAATTTTCTCCTTTCCTAACAGTGGAGCTTGC